GAAAGGGAAAATGATCTTTCATCCCAAGTGTTAGATGTAAGTGGTTAAGTATTTCGCTTAACTATAAACAGTAATATGACTTTAAACTATATTGGTTAAGATGTATATATGAACGTGGTAAAGTACCTCTTCTCACACCAAATATATCCCTCTCAAAGTACCCTCAAGGAAGCTTTGAAGAGCTACCTGGACGAAGTATACCCCGAGTTTATGTCAGACATAAGCTCTAATAAATTTACAAACTATTTTCATATGGAATAGTCTAGTTCTGTATGTAATAAATTTAATATTACGTATTTATTTTATACATGTTCTAAATTATTATATTTTACTAGTTATTACAAAAAATGAAGAAGCAGCATTACTAAATGTTAGGAATGCTATTTGGAGGATCTTTGAGGCTGAAAAGTTTCTGCTTTTAAAATATAACACTTTCGCGTCTGAAATTGTGAGGTGGAAAAGAAGTAATAAGGTTGCCAATTGCTTTTGCTTGCTTTTTTAACAAATAAAAGTGAAGTGTATTGGATTGATATGATTACAAGGTCTGTCTTCTCTACGGTTGTAATACCTGACTTGGCTCTTGAATATTGTGTATTTAAATTAGCAGTGTATAATATATTGTTAAACCCCAAGTCAAAAAATATGAAATATACTAAGAAACTTATGAAGTGCCAACTAGCATGATATTTGGTAGGTATTTTGAAGTTTTTATTTATAGCGATCCAAAATTAATGAGTTTTGCATTATAGGATGATTTAAATAATAAAGAACCTTCTTATAAATCTGCCTAAGCATTAATAGAAAGTGAACATAAAGGTGATGAAGGCAAAAGGTTCTGACCAACCTTGCCTCATCCAACATATGAAGAACCTGAACCAATTTTATAATTAGGCTCTTCAATGCAAATTTCACAAGATAAACTAGATAATTTGTTTGAGGTCTATTAGTAGTGGTAGATTTGGTTTTTTTTTAGCTTTAGCATTTTTTTAACTTTAGCATTTTTTTTAGCTTTAGCATTTTCTATGCTTATATTGTTGTCTTGTAATGATAATAATATATAACGATAGTAATATAAACAAATAAATATAGTTTACAAATTCTATATAATGCTTTCAAAATTAATATATAATATAATGTATAAGAAAAACAATAATTTTAATCGATATTTTAATATAATTGTTGATAAATGATTATTTCATGTTAGATAAGTATCGATTTTAATCGAAATTGATAAAAATCAATAGGTATAAAACTGGCTATATATTGATTATAACTAT